TGAAGCCTTTCGGGATCCACAAAAGAACCTCACAGTTGACTCCAAACATTGACGGGGTGCCACAGGTAGCAGAAAGGCCAAATTCGATATAAGACAATATCACCACAGTAGGCAGAAGTGTTACAGGTGCAATAAACCCCAAAACAAATTTGCAGGGCCTTGATGGTATTCTACCAATCATACTTAAGAAAACAAAATATGAGTAACAACACTTACAATATTCTCTTGAGAGAGGAGTAATATCCATGGACTGGAAAATTGCTAAAGTTGCACCTCTGAAAAAGGGAGGCAAAACAAAACCAATTATAAGTGAAGAAATCTGGCTTTACTAGTTGCAAAATTGTGGAAATAATTATTAACAATATTACACTACAGTATCACAGGCATGGCAATAGGATTTTGGGGAATACTCAACACAGATTTACAAAACGTCTAGCTTAATTTAGAGTTATTTAAATGAGCAATAGCAGTAATGAATGCAAAAGATCATATGATATGGTATGTGTACAGTACAGTATATATACATGACACACCTGAAGAAGGCTTCACAGCTGAAACGTTGTGTCTTCACTCTTCTCTTTTCAGCAGGGAATAAACCTATTACTTGTTCTTTTGTATGTATATATATATAGTGCCCTCCACTTTTTCCACACTTTGTTGTGTAGTAGACTTATTTCAAAATGAATTGAATCGATAAGTTTTTACCATCAGTCGACACAAAATACCCCATAATGATAAAGTTGAAAACACATTTTTAGGAAAGGTGGGTGCCTTTCATTTCATTTTGAAATAAGTCTACAACACAACAAGGTGTGGAAAACGTGGAGGGGTCTGAATACTTTCTGCAGGCACTATATATGTATATACTGTATATGGCATGTATATAGAAAGATTATGAGGTTTCTCAAAAAAGATCAAATCCAAAAGTGCATATATAAGTTTATGTATACGTTTTGTATTGAGTACTGGTTAATGGTTAGAATATGGTACAGCTAAATGACTGATGATGGAAGAATCACATACTGAGGTGATGTAATTAGTAGAGTACTACAGTGATCCACGTAGGACCACTGCTTTACCTAATTTATATTCATCCATTCATTCATTTTCCAACCACTCCCACAGAGTTGGGAGGCAGCCTGAGCATTTCCTGGCAAGCAATGGGCGCAAGGCAGGATACACACTTGATGGGACACCAGTCCAACACAGGGCACACACACACTCACACCAGGGCCAATTGTTCCAGAAGACTCTAAGCTACCAGTATGTCTTTGGACTGTGGGGGTAAACCAGAGCTTCTGGAGGAAACCTACGCGAACACACAGAAAAAGTACATACAGTACTCTACACAGTTAGCAAAAAAGGTCCGGAATTGAACCCAGGGCCCCAAGACTGCAAAGGCAGCTATACAAACCACTGCTGCCCCTCATTTATATCAATGATGTTTATTCTGGTTTTGTAAGTATATGTGTCAAGTTCTTATACAATACCAAAACAGAGGTTTTAGCGAACTGCAGAGGCAGCAAATAAAATACAAAAGGTTTTAAATCACATTCAGGACAGGGAAAACATTTGGCAGAAATGTAGAAAGTTCGGAATATTGCATGTACTGTAGAAAGCAAAGCTTTAAGTGTATGAGATGAGGAACATTGAGCACACAGGCTTTTCTTATGAAAAAACCTTGGCGGTTATGTTTTATGTTGATTTTATTAACGTCTTTGCAATGCAAGGAAGCAATAAAAAAGGCAAACCGAGTTCTGTAACACATTTCATACATCCTTTTTGGACATTTCTACAATTTTGTTCACCACTTTCCAAAAAAATCTGTTGCTGCTTTTGTTGCTCATAGCATCATTCCAGGGAAGAACAACTACAGTAGATAAATTACCTGGACCAAGAGAAATATCAGACTTTTACAGGCTGAAATAACTGAATATTTTTGGTTTTAAAAAGAAAACACTACGAGGGAAACTACATTATTCAAAATTCTCAAAGGCATGGACAAAGTCAATTCAATGGATGTCTTCAGAATTCTCACAATCCAGACAAAGTGGAAACTACAGGTTAGTGCCATTAAAACTGGGGACAGGAGGCATTTCTTTACATAATGTTTGTGTAAGCTACTCAAGTTATGTCCTTGAAACTAGCACCCTGGCTTCTATCAAGAAATAGCTGGATGAGATCCTGGGATCAGTCACCTACTAACAACCTAAGAAACAAAGAGGTCTGAATGGGCCTGTCTTATCTGTAATGTTTCTGAAGTCCAGATTCATTTTTCATCCAGTATCGAAACCTTTCTTTTAGCGGACACTTTTTGACAGATCACAAGTCATAAGAGAAATTATTTCTGCCCTGATGTACATTTTTGGTAGAATTCTGTAGAATGTCTGGAGTGTGCTGGCCATAATGATCTCTACCTATGGAACTAATCCACATACTCAGTAAAATTCTAGAGATATATGCCTCACTTTAGTGTGTTTTGGTGTTTATTCAACAGAAGAGTGTTTTAACTGGACTCAAATTACATTACTGACCCCAGAAGTAATTATTTTGGCCAGAACATTGATGAGGAAAGCTGTAGTTTTGCTGCAAGCTTAACAAAAAAAAAGTTTATAAAAGGAAATTAATAATAATTCGCAGTATGCTGGAATTGACCGAATTTACAGTATATGCAAATACAACACTGAAACTTTGGCTGTAATCTTCACGGAATGGCTAGCCAAGTTCTTTCTAGTGACTTAAATGTAGCCTTTTTCTTGTAAGTGTGTAACTGCAGCACTTACTGTACCATGCTTTGTGTGTGAATGTAAAATTCCTGACAACTTGCTTTTTTCTGCTGAGTGAGAATGATTTGGGCTGTCCTCTTGAGGAAAAATCATGTCTTGATTGCCATGACAACAAACTGTATAGGCTATTTTACAGCAATCAGTAATGATCAGAAGAAGATACATCTTAGACATTTGTTTACCTGTTTTTATTCTTTTACTTTACTACTACTACTACTAATAATAATAATTGCTTACACTTACAGTATATAGCGCTTTTCTGGACACTCCACTCAAAGCGCTTTACAGGTAATGGAGTCTCCCCTCCATCACCAATGTGCAGCCCCACCTGGATGATGCGACGGCAGCCATAGTGCGCCAGAACGCTCACCACACATCAGCTATCAGTGGGGAGGAGAACAGAGTAATGAAGCCGATTCATAGATGGGGATTATTAGGAGGCCATGATTGGTAAGGGCCAATGGGAAATTTGGCCAGGACGCTGTAGTTACACCCCTACTCTTTTCAAGAAACAACCTGAGATTTTTAATGACTACAGAGAATCAGGACCTTGGTTTTTATGTCTCATCCAAAGGACAGCACCTGTTTACAGTATGGTGTCCCTGTCACTATACAGGGGCATTAGGACTCACATGGACCGCAGGGTGAGTGCCCCCTGCTGGCCCCACTAGTTTTTCCCAGGAGGTCTGTTATCCAGGTACTGACCAGGTTCACATCTGCTTAGCTTCAGTGACAGTTGTGAGTTGCAGTGTACATCAATTGACAATACTCATTTATAATGATGGCCTGGAGACCTACTGTATTTATAGAGCATGGCATTTCTTGGAGCAATCTGAGTGTAGTGCCTTGATCAGGGATGTGAACACACCCATTTCCACCCGCTGGAAGTCTGGAGTGCAAAATACCATACTCCTGCCTATCATTTGGGACTAATTAATTGTAAACTATTTACAAAGGATCAAAACCACATAACCACAGCAAAGCAGCCTCTCGTAATCACCTTCTGTGACCTTGGGTACTCATTTCATTGCTAAAGCAGCCTATCAGCCTGTCAGCCTAACTTTTTCTGGGATGGCACAGCCCCAGTGCGGGAAGGCCACACTGCAGGTGTTCTTAACCATGTAATGACTTATTGGCTTAAATGCACAGTACAAAGTTTATGCAAGAAATACAATGATGCCTATAAAATATAGAAATTAAACCTAAAACCTGTATTGAGTTTGATATTAGTTATAATAAACACCCTTTAAATTATTATAGCATTACACAATTCAGAGCCAAGAAACAATGTGATGAACTGAGTGTAGGATATTTATGGATTTTGATTTGAAGAAAAGGGGTGTATAAGATGTAATTGCAACAATTGCACAAGGCCAGGCTTTATTAGATTTAGCACCTATTCTATATGTACTATACGTACAGTCTACATACTGTACTATTCCATGGACAACAGTGAGCAGACACATGTGCATAAACATGGGTTTGACGTAGATTCACTTACAAAATCATGTTTATCCCGCGGGTGAATTACCTTCGTGTAACAAGTGGCCGATTTCGCTGTCTACCGATTAAAAAAAATAATCTAGCGGGAATGATCATTAGCAAAAGACAAGTGGTACTTCCGGACCCACAGAAAAGAACTCCGCAGGTTTAGGTTTAAGGGAAAGAATGTCAGTGGCAAGCCAACAAATCAACTGCTGCTGACAGCTGTGGAAGGTCACACATTAAGCACCGGCTATTTGTTCTTAATGTAATTTTCTACACATTGGTTTCAGGCCACCCTTCGATGCGTGTGTGGCTGAGCGTCCAAAGCTGATAACTCAAGCATTCGGAGACAACCAGGAAATCCAGTTCGAATTCCTCTCCTTCGCACGTTGTAGACATGCATGTGCGCCGATTAAAGAAAGTGCATTACAGTGTATGTGGCCAAACAAACTCTTAATAGTTTCCTGTCTAGCGCCATCAGGACGATATCCATGGTATGTTGGCAGGTGTGATTCACATGCACGCCTGAACGTTGTGTAATCTGATTAGAAAACAGGAGCCTGTGACCTATTAACTCGTTTTAATTCCATTTAATTACTCATTATCACTTGGAGTGCTTCATATCGAAAATTCACGATGCATTGTGCAAACACACTCAACTCAAGAAAAAATACAATTTGTTTTTAGCATATGACTAGTTAAATTGCCAGGATCTGTAACCTTGTTAATTCTAGCGGTCCAAACTCGTGCAATTTAAGCTTCAGCTCGGAGGCAGAACAGGTCCCTCGTTTCCTGGAGAACTAAATATTCACAACACTCATGTCAAAGCCAGTAGGTACTGTATCAAAATGTTAATTTGACATTCTTAGCTCAAAACATGTTTTTTTGTTTGTCCTTGAGCAAAGGCTTGTAATTTTAACGAAAAAAGAAGGATGGTTTGGAAGGAAACACTTAATCGTTTTACAATTAACATTTTACCTGACTAATGCATGGACTAAAAACTGATGTTTTTGAAGTCTGACATTTTTAACGACCGCCTTGTAAATGCTTAAATGTAATGCTTGTAATGCTTAAATGACCGCCGTTGTAAATTCTTATGTGTTGTTCCCAAAAGCGGACGATAAAATCAACGCCTTATTATGTTATGCGTAAATCCATTGCTTTCTCAACTATTCTTATCAATAGCGCGTTCCCATCATTACTTGAATGTTGATTTGTAATGATTTGAATCAGACAAGTTGAAATCGGGAGAGCCAATGTAAAACGTTGTCTACAGTAAGGAAAAGAAATGTAATTCAGAGGAGAGACTTGAGGAGGATTTCTGCTGCCACTTCAGCAGCAACAAGAGCTTGTTCTTACTGTAAAGTCAGAGATATAATTCAGGTTCCAGGTCTTCCCTTGGGGCTCATGGAAGTCTGTACCTTCTCAGAGGGGCATTGCTGGCATTTCTTCCCTGTCAGCCTTCTCATTCAACTGAAACAGACCCAAATTCTGTTTCAGCTGGACATACTGTACATCATGTTACAAAGACTGTGATTTAATGATACACTAGATGCAATATGTATATGTTAATTAATTGATTAAAAGTATTTAAGTAAATGAGGGCTGTGGTATATTCTTTTGTCCTGCAGGAGGTCACTCCTGTGCCTCCCCTGTAATGGATGTAGAAGTACAGCAACAGCAGAACTGCCTTGGACCAGGAACAGCCCTGATTACAGAGAGGCTGACGTAAGTAAAGGAAAGATCCACTTCCAGTCCCTTTCATGACCAAAACAGTGGCCATCTCTCAATCATGCTGGAAACAGGAGGACGGTGTGTTTCAGTCTCATTGCTGAAATCCTAGATGGCCAGCTGCAACGCTTGTGAGCTGTGGGGTGTTTGGAGTTTCGTTTCAGATTCTCACCAGCATTGTTGTGGTAACCCTGCAAAACTGGTTCTGTCTGAGCTCGGTTTGGTTGAGATGGAAACCTGTTGACACACTGACCCATCAGGGCCAGTATTGGATCCTACCTGTTTACCTGTCTATGAGATATAAACCAGTAAATGTTGTCTCCCACTTTCATTGGGAGCTAATGGATACATTCATCTTGTATGGCCAGCAGCCATATCACCCTATAACTGGCAACCCACTGCTGCTAAGCAGGTGTGAGCCTGGTCAGTACCTGGATGGGAGACCTCCTGGGGAAAACTAAGGTTGCTGCTGGAAGAGGTGTTAGTGGGGCCAGCAGGGGGCGCTCACCCCCTAATGGTCTAATGTGGGTCCTAATGCCCCAGTATAGTGACGGGGACACTATACTGTAAACAGGAGCTGTCGTTTGGATGAGACGTAAAACTGAGGTCCTGACTCTCTGTGGTCATTAAAAATCCCAGGGTGTTTCTTGAAAAGAGTAGGGGTGTAACTAAATGTCCTGGCCAGATTTCCCATTGGCCCTTACCAATCATGGCCTCCTAATAATCCCCATCTATGAATGGGGAAAATAAATAAAAGAAACCAGCAGACTGATGGGCAAAATTTGGACCCTACAGTGTCGGGCATTGTCATGTGTCGTGTCTCTTACAGCTCTTCGTCCTGAGGAAAAGGGCTTTTCACCTTTTTCATTTTGCTGTACAATTACAAGAACCCAAAAAGTGTCAAATGCTCCACAAGATCACAAGAAGTGGCTGGTAGTTGACCTTTCTCTTTTTTGCTTACTGTAAATACCATGTGCTTTCCTGCAAATAAATGATGAACCAGTCAAATTGGACACATACAGTTGCTCTCTATTTTATTGTGTGTATGTTAACATGCCATTACAGTGAGGTATTTTTAACGTTTTGTGCAGTATAGGCTTCAGCTGTGGGTTGAAGATGATTTATATTCTACATGTTTAAAAGGATCAGATTTGATTGTTGTTCTTCCAAGAGTCTGTGCACAGCAAGAGGTGACACCTTAAAACAAATTCAAGTTCTCAGTACAGGAGCTTGATTTAGATCTGCAGATTGTTTTATTTCAAATCATTTTGAATGAAGTAACTATTACGTGGCAGGCAGGAAAGACATATTACTGCACTGGATTGGATACTGACATTGGATTAATGCATCACTGATAGTAGTGCATTAAGGAAGACCATGACAAGTTTTTTTTTTTAAACTATGATTTCTGCAGGAATAAATAGAATTCACCACATCAACAAACTGCACAAGATGATTTTAACCTATTTTTTTTTATCCGTTTCCCTTAACATGGAGATGATTTGAATTCCTCAGAAACCCTCTGGAGAGAATCTAATACAATGCTCCTGCAGAAGAAATGTCATCCATATGAACACCATTCCAATAGAGAGATGTCCACCAAAAGCTTTACATGATATGTAATGGTGCAGACTGATCTGTAGAGGGCAGCGGGTGCAGACCTAAAGGATGAACCCACTTGTAAGGCTGTGAGAGGACAGCGAGCAGGCAGGCGATAGTGAAATTAAAAGCACTGCAATGAGAGCAGCAGCACAGGGAATCTCAGTCTGTAGTGAAGGGCAAATCCAGGAACTGAAGGCAAGTTTCAATCCAGGTCAATAGCCAGGTAGACATGGGGAGGTAAAAAGCTGTGGGGAATCTGGAAGAGAAGTCGAAGGTGAGTTGGACCACTCTGAAGCAAGTGAAGAATAAAATTGAGCCAAGTAACACAGTGAAGCATAGCAAAGAAAGGCATTTGACTCCAGGGAAAAGCAAATCCAATGGCTGAGTGCAGACAGGATTTAAATACCTGGGGTAACAAGGTGAGCACACATTAATTAGTGGCGGGGAGTACTGATAATTGCCCATAACAAGTAAATACAGCACCATTGGAAGATTCCACCTGAATGGAAACCTCTCAGCCACCTGGGACTATGAGCCTGCATTCTCACAGGTATTCCATGATCCATGATCTTGATTTTTTTAAGGGTTAGAGACAAGCACCCCATCAAAGAAGAGCATTTTGCAGGTTATTTTCACTCCATCCTGTTCATTATCAATTACTTATTTGTTTGACAGCTTTCTCCAAAACTGTTTAAATTTGAACCCATTTACATAGTTGGGTATTTACCAACACAAATCAGGTGAAGTACCTTGGTACAACAACAGTGACTCACCTGGGATTTGAACCCACAACCTCCCAGTTTTGAGTCTAGAGCCACAATCACTGTTCCACTGTCATTCCCCCTGCTCCAAGTCTACACATGGACGTCAGAGAGGGAGCTTCAGCAACCTTGGACGATCCCCTCCACATTCCTCCCTGTAAACAGTCTGTCCTGGGACGAGCTGTGAGTGACGATGTTCTGGCTGCTGTAGCACATGGAGGCTCTTGAAATGTTATCTCAGGGGTTCATCCCCTATTAGACCGCAAAGGAGCATAGTTGTGGGGGTTGATCCAAACTGGAAACTCACTCTAGCAGAAGACCTGGATGTGTGAGTAGGTGGGGGGTCACGTTTGTTTGACAGAAGGCCCATTCCCTCTCCTCTCCACTCAAGAGAAGTTTGTTTTTCCTGACGGGGTGTTGCGTACAGAAACAGGGTGGGAAACTGTGCCAGACACAAGCAAAGGCTGCCCTGACAAGGCGGGAGATTGATGAGCTGCGAGCTGAAGTGATCATGTCTCACAGACTGTGATTCAGAGATGTGACTTTCTGGGGCAGAAGAGCGATGTTTCAGCCCTGGAAGCCTGTTGAAATTGAGATCACAGCTCTATTCCCTGAAAGTGACAGGTATCGCCAATTAGTTGCAGGAGTTAATGATTTTCCCCATGGATTTCAGGTGTTAGTGACTAACAAGTAAAAGTCTTTCCTACTTTTTGTCATGCCCAATGAATTGTTCTGTCTAATGCATGGCAACCTTGGAGGTTTGGCTAGTTTTGACTAATGTATTGCAGTCATGAGGGAATTCATCCTTTGAATCTCTAATTCTTCAGTAGTTCTGAGATACCTAAATAAGAATCAAATTTCAGAGTGTGGTTTGAGCCTTTTAGTCCACATGTCTTAGGTTCAAGCCTGTCGTGTTCACTAGCTGACTGTGACTGGAATTCCCTAGGTAGCAGCACACAACTGTTTGAGTCGGACAGTTTTCTAGCTACTGAGAGCTTGCAGTCAGTAAGAGCAGTGTCACGTCTGCTTTTCTAATATAACTCTCTTGTAGGCACAGTGGGGCTATTTGTGTGAGCACATTTCAGACAACCACGACAAGAGTAGAGTTCTGAGGGAAACCTGCTGATTCCTTGATAGCCCCTCTCTCACTCCCTGCCCACACTAGTTAGAAGGATTCACCTTTACCACTGAGCTGATTAATTAATTAAAATTCAAAAGTGCCGTTTTATGACAAGAAAATACAGTTATCATTCCAATTTCATTTCAAAACTAATTTTGAATTAGGCTCCACAGTCTTTTAGGCTCTACAGCTCCACATGTTGTGTTTCCTTACTTCTCTTTTCAGAATGGAATAGACCTTTACCTGTTCCTTTGCAGCCTAGCATGCTGCAACTATTTTTTATAGTGTCAGACACACTTATTTAATTGATCAAATTAGGTTTAGACACGTTAGTATGGAAATGCATATCAACATAAGACAAGAAACATCAGTGTGAAACACGTCTATCGACATAGGACAGGACACATTAGTTGAATTACGTCTATCAGCATAGAACAAGATTGTATATGAACCAGAATTTGACTCTGTATTGCAGCTGAGGCAGGAAAACATTGCAGTTTTAACAGTTTTTAATCCAAGTGCTCTGTTGGAGACACAGCAGTTTTGCCCATCTGCAAGTATCAGTGAGAACCCAGCTCCAAGAATTCTGGCTGAAGATCCATGAGTTTAAGGAATGTTAAAAAGACGTTTTTTGGAATGGTCATTCATGTCTGCTCTGCAGGGCCTGTTTTTTTCAATTTTGTTTTACAAGAGTGCATAATGGCTTCCCGAGCAAGGTCTCGACTGGGCACTGGGAATGCTTTGATCTTATCACAATGGTACAGGGACATTCTAATAGCTCTAATGGATTTGGGGGAATGCAATCAGTTCATTTGAGAACGGGGTCTTTTGAGGTTTCTGTGCAGACGTATTAAAGGAAAAAGGTTTTTTTAACTTTTAGGCCGCATAATTTTTCCCCTGTCGTCCTCCTACAGGTCAGACCTTAATTGTAGCCTCTTAAAGAAACTTGAAGGGTCTTTGAACACTTTGATGGAATAGGACGGTCTTTTTTGCCTGTTTCTGCAGCAGAATTATATGCTGCCTGGCTCGTGTTCATGATAAAAATCCAAGCAGTCCAAGTGGGAGTGAACCAGTGATCATGAACCAGTTCGACTTGATGGAAATGCAATGAGCCAGTTCTGATTGTTTAAGCCCTGCAGGCACCTTGCCTTTTCAGCAGAGAGGTCACAGAGTGGGTTCTCTGACTTGAACCTGTTTGTATCCCCAGTTGTGAGAGACTGCAGGAGGAAATTGTTTGGAATGTGTCAATCTGGGTCATAGCATTCTTGTTAAAATCCCTGTCAATTCTCATGCAACTGCTGCATTTTTTGTGTGTGTGTGTGTGTGTGTGTGTGTGTGTGTGTGTGTGTGTGTGATCCGAATCTGAATAATGGAGTAGCCGTTTGGTGCAGTAGAAACAGCTGCTCCATTTTAAGCTAAGGCAGTGGTAAGCAATGCCAGCCCTGGAGGGCTACGGTGCCAGTGGGTGTTCGATCCACCTCTGCTCTTAATGGCCTGATTGAGCTGATCAAGTG